CAGACACGACGATAAAGTGTCAACAAGTAGAGCACCAGCGGCAGGAGTGAGTAATTATGCACGAAGAGTGAGAAGAATGAAAAGGACCTGTGTAGTGAGACTACATTGTAGTGAAACATTGACTAAAACACGCGTGTCAAGGGTTCATTTTATCAAACATTGACTGAAACACCTGTGTCAGATACTCATTTTGTCAAACATTGACTGAAACACCTGTGTCAGATACTCATTTTATCAAACATTGACTGAAACACCTGTGTCAGAGGCTCATTTTGACAAAAATTGACTGAAACACCTGTGTCAGAGGCTCATTTTGGCAAATATTGACTGAAATACCTGTGTCAGATACATATTTTGTCAAACATTGACTGAAACACCCGTGTCAGGGGCTCTGCAGCGTAACTCTACTTTCACCTATTTAACAAGACTACCCCACTGAGCTTCATCCGCAGGGAAAAAATTTCCCCGCGGTCCAATTATAGGTTAAGTGTGTTAGACCGTGTCTGTACCTTAACCATCTCTTAAAAGTTAAAGTCATTATAAGGTGAACATGGCCAATACTCGGTGACACCTCTGCCCTCTTGCCACCGATCTTAGCCAACAGACTTGATTGCATATTCACCTGTTCGATTACTCCCCCACCCCCCTTTCTAATGACCCTTTTCCCTTATTATAGAATTGTTTAAATAACCATAGTTCGGTTTATGCCTGTGATAAAGTTTAAAAATACAATGTTAAATATTAAAAAGAATTTCTTACAATTCATTACCCATAGAAATACTGTACATCAATGTAAATGAGCACTATAGGAAGGTAGATGAGAACTATATGAAGGTAGATGAGAACTATATGAAGGTAGATGAACACTATATGAAGGTAGATGAGTACTATATGAAGGTAGATTAGCACTATTGGAAGCGAAATGATTCGAATTGAACGGAGACGAAACTTATAAATGTATTATTTTGTATTATTTTTTTTTTTGAAAATATTGTCTGCACACAATTTCTTTGCGTATTGAATGTTAAGAAATTATTTAAAAAATCATTTGCTAACTAATTTTTTTTTTTAAATATATTTTTAAAACGGATTTTGTCCTACTTTAGTATTAAAATTTAATCTTTGAACTGTCAACACAAGTAGAATTATCCCCGCATGCCACGCTGGAGCTCAAATACCCCCCCCCCACACCATTTCTTCCGCCCCCTCCCGCTGTTCACTAAAAGGAGCTGACTACACTGGCGATCATCTGAACGATGGAGTCAAGTCGCATGCGTCAAGAGAACGACGGTTTGACGTGAAGAAAATGAGAGCAGATAGAAAAACTTTGGGAAAATATTGAACGCTGCTTGATGTCTTTAAATTGATTAATAAATTAAAAATAAATTAATTATTAATTTTGCCGTGATAAAACTTTTAAAAAAATAATAAATTTAGCTCAGTTTCATATTGCGGTCTAACATGACTGGTGTTACAATTGCTAAAAGTATTTCATTTGTTTTGAGAACATCTCAGCAGAAACTTTAGTGCATGATACAAACAATTTAGTGAATAATGCATACATTTTAGTGCCTGATACAAAAATTTTAGCGCATGATACATACATTTAAGTGCACGATACACACATTTTAATGCATGATACATACATTTAAGTGCACGATACACACATTTTAATGCATGATACATACATTTAAGTGCACGATACACACATTTTAATGCATGATACATACATTTTAGTGCATGCTACACATATTTTATTGCAGGATACACACATTTTAATGCATGATACATACATTTTAGTGCCTGCTACAAAAGTTTTAGCGCATGATACATACATTTTAGTGCATGCTACACATATTTTAGTGCACGATACAAACATTTCAGGGTATGGTGCATAGCTCAGGAAACAATTGAAAAGAACACAATCGAAAGGCTGTCTTCGCAACCATAGGTCAATTGGTGTCCAACGCACCCTAATATAATCATATAATGATCTAAATTTCAAAGTTATTCACAATACCAAATAACCAACAACAACAAAATATTTTTAAAAATGCAAGTTTAAAATTATGTATGCTAAAACATTTCATTTTTTGCAGAATGAAGCTAGGAAGCAATTGTGTACCCCACCAAGACCAATTAAGTGAAGAAAAATACATCTGTGTGTTGTTGTTTTTTTGTAATAAAAATTTCACAGGCCGACTTTATATATATATATATATAACAGTGAAAAATTGCTTGTAAAATATTTCTTAAAATAAACATGTAAACACGTTTTCGTCTATAGGTAAAGACCCACTAAGCTGGCTCGCATTAACGTAGAGGTACCGAACAGCTTTTGAGAGATAGGCCAAACGGAGTACCACGATGTTGTATTAATATCTTTGTGAGACTGGCCAGAGTGTACACCCGGATGTTCTATTCATAGATTTTTGCCATTAAATGAAAAACCCTATACGGGACCTTTCGTTCTCACTAAGGTACTTATAGTGTTCACATTACCATTTGCATCTGTGTCCCCTCTAGGTTGTGTGCCTGCATGCGCGCGTACCGTCCGTGATATTGGTGAACAGGCAACTTAAGGGGCGCAAAGTAAATTTAATAAAGAAAACATATTTCATTATTTTACTACTATTTTTATTTATTTCCCTTCATCAATTATTATCAATATAGCAATAGTTGCTGTTAGTATAAAGCTGAGTCTGTCAGACTCAGCAGTCGCTATCGGCAGTACCACAACAGGCCTACACGTCTTGAATTCGCCAGTGTGAGATTTTTTTCGTCCCTCTTTTGTTCTTATTTTTATAATAATTCAATTCAAATTATTGATTCAAATCTTAATCAAAAATAAAATATTGATATATACACAACCATGACAAGGGGGCACCTATATGTCCACTAGCATTTCTTCTGCTGCTCTCCTATTGAGTGTAGAATAATGACAAACTAAATTCAAACTTGAGCTTTTTTTTAACAAAAACATTTGGGGGGCAAGCCTCTCCCCACCACATTGAACGCCTTTCTGTGACATTGAAATTACACAGAAATAGATCAGTTTGTTTAATCTAAACTGACAATACACAACAATAGATTCGTTGTTCAATCTAAACTGACAATACACAGCAATGGTTTGTTAAATCTAAACTGACATCAAACAGAAATATATCAGTTTGTTTAATCTAAACTGAATAGCCAAACTATAAAAGAATAATTTAAATAACAAAGCGGGCTTTGGTTTCAGCCTTGAATTGAACAACACCACACATCTCTTGTATTTGATGTCACAAAGCATGCATGGAAAAATTTAACAGTGATAATTTCAGAGCATTTAAATATGCAAATTCACATTAATTAATTTTTTTTTTTATTTTGTTAGACGACTTGTAAAATAGCAGGATATACATGCCACCAACAATTAAGTTATGTATGCTTATGTTCAAAAATTAGTTACCATACCACTATTTTACGTACTGGGATACCACCACCAGTTAACCATTATCGTAATACCCCACTGCATTTATTCCCTTCAAGTCTAAATCCTACCCATTCCGCAGAATTTTAAACTCGCAGCAAACCGTGTGCGGTATCTTGTTGTACTGGCACAGTTTAGAGCTCGGCAATCTACTGCACATCTCTCCATATCGCACCAATGTCACATAGAAACAGTTCACCTTAACCATTTACCTCAACCAAATAGCCTCCAACCTTTTCCTGAAATTATTTTTAAAAAATAATATCATAACATAAGTTACCACTGAAATGGAATACTCTAAGCTTATCTCCGACATTTAATCCTAATGGACTCTGTTGAAGTGTTGAAACATATAAAAAGTAAACAAGAAATTAGACATTTGTCGTAAACAAGATTTTACGATTTGGGGCTGGAACGGTCTACTCTATAATAACCATTGCTGGGTGGCCGAGTTGTCCAAACTGAGTAGAGCTAGTGGAGTTCAATCGATGGGTCTGGTTAACATTGGAAGGGAACTCATCTAAGAGATGGGACTGGTGAACCTTGGCAGGCAGCTCATCTAAGAGATGACTCTGGTTAACCTTGGATGACAACTCATCTATGAGATGGGACTGGTTAACCTTGGATGGCAACTCATCTAAGAGATGGGCTTGGTTAACTTTGGATAGCAGCTCATAAAAGAGATGGGACTCGTTAACCTTGAGTTACAATTTATCTAAGAGATGGGACTGGTTACATTGGATAGCATCTCATCTAAGAGATGGTGCTGGTTAACATTGGATAGCAACTCATCTAAGAGAAGGTAAACTGTGAAATCAAACACGGAGATGGAGTCCCGTGCGCGGCTTTACATTGACACGACGAAAATTCTGATAATTTCTGCGCATCATGAGCACAGTGAAACACGAGACATCCTTCCTGGTCACCTAAAGCATTGTGGTCTATTTCCAGAGATCTTGGGTCAAATATGCAAATACGAGAGAGCGAGGCTGACAAACTGAGCTATTCTCCTTCACTTTACACAGCACACAGGTTAGGACGAAAAATAATAATAGAATTATTATTGTAAATGGTAAATTTTGTGTTTCTATGAGTCCAGAGCTGAAGCTATGCAATTTTTATATGTGATTAAAGTTAAAGTACTCAGATGTTTACACATCCCCTGAAATTTTATAACTTTATTATTTATTTTTTTGTATTAAATTGATATAAAAACAGTTAAACACACAAAACAAGGATTGATTGACATGGGAAGCTTTTGACATCATTTGCAATGTCTGAAATAACTCTTGCCAGATTGCGGTTTATTAAAATATCATGCATAGAAACAACATATCATAACATAATGCAATGTCATTAATATAAAACAAAAGGAAATAGATTTAGTTCATGTCGCATTAGCATGAAGCGAATTTAAAAATTAAAAAAAACAAAAAAACAATAATGTACAAGGCTAGTGTCGGAGCTGGCTATCCATACTTTTGGCTACGTATCATATGTACACAAATGTTTTGAACAGTATATGTGTGGGTTATTTAATCCTCAGATTTTCATCTGGGGGGGGGGGTGATGGGTGCTTTTTAAAGGCCATGAAAAATACACGGCCTTCTTACAGCTCACCAGTTACATGGTGTAACGTGATGTATTGGGTGTAACGTGATGTAATGGGTGTAATACATTAATTTCATGTCTTCATTTGAAAAGCCAATTTATGCCGTCATTTATTCTTTCCTTTTTTAAAAATGACGCAGAAAGCATTTTTTTGCAGGGAAAAGAATTTAATGTGTAGAACTAGAAGGAGACCAAGTTAAGTTTAGAATAAGTAAAGCCACCTTTCTTTGGATGCTGCTAAAATGCATTTTTAATTACGGTCGTGGTTTGGGTGGGGGGAACCACATACTTTAATTAACTTAACACATCACTGTACACAATTTATGTATCCGCTGTACACAAAGTAACGAACAGTTAATCCATCCGTAAATCCATCAGTTAAATCCATCGGGTAGAGGTCCGCCTTGTCTCAAAGCGCGCACGACATATACCAATCGGCCAAAGAGTCTGGCATTAATTGGCGTCATGTTAGAGGTCATCTTCAACAGGTGCGTCGTACCTGGGAGTGAGATCACTTTGTACCAAGCAACAGTGTTATTTTAGTATTGCGAAAAAATTGTGTCGTCTTGCGGCCGCCTTTTGTGTTCCCGGTGAGCTCAGCGCTGTTACAGTTTGATGCTCTCCTCAAAGATGGCGATGAGCAGCATGATGGCGAAGCCGATCAGAATGCCGACGTTGTTCAGGGCGAAGTGGAAAGCACCGGTGGTCTTGATGAGCTGGGGCAGCTGTGGAAGAGAACTTATTGGTCAGGAGTTTTTTTGGATATTTTTTTTTTTTTTTTTTTTAGAATGAGTTTTTATTTTTTGGAAGAGGGTAGGGTATTGCTGGGATTGGGAGGCTGATAGAATGATGTGATAAGGAGTTTTTGGGATATTATTGGGATAAGGAGTCCAAAGGGTATTGATGAGATAAGGAGTGCGAGGGTTATTGCTGAGATAAGGATTCTATTTGGTTTTGTCTGTATAAGGAGTCAGTGTGGTTTGGCTGGGATGAGGAATCTGTGACTTACAGTTTAAGAACTGGCGCCAAGTATTGGAATCAAAACAATTCCCACAATCATACGATTTTAAAATAGTTTAGCATGGGGCCAGCTTGTGTAGGATGTTTCGTATGCCTGGATTATCTTAAACTTTTTTTTTCAACTACTTATTTACGGTGAACTCTGAGAGAACAACGCCCGTTTCAACATCTATCCCCCACCCCCCTTGTTCTCTGCCCCCCACTCACCAAGTCCACGAGAGCTATGTACATGAACATCCCGCCCACGTTCTCTGTCCCCCCCCCACTCACTAAAGTCCATGAGAGTTATGTACATGACCTTCCCACCCAGGTCCTCTGTCCCCCACTCACCAAGTCCATGAGCCCTATGTACATGACCATCCCACCCAGGTCCTCTGTCCCCCACTCACCAAGTCCATGAGCCCTATGTACATGACCATCCCACCCAGGTCCTCACTCACCAAGTCCACGAGAGCTATGTACATGAACATCCCAGCGGTGACAGCGAAGATCCAGTTCCTGACCTCGTCGCTCGTGGACACCACCAGACCGACGTAGAGGCCGATGAATGCGGTTAGCGCTGACAGCAGGTTGAGGAGCAGAGCTTTCTTGAAGCTGAGACCGGACTGAAGCAGGACGGCGAAGTCACCTGGAGAGATCATTCAAGTGACGTGGATTAAGTGCACGGAGATTCCAGTGGAGTGATGGATAAACAGGACAACACTGATAGAAGTGTCGCCTTTGGGAATAACTTATAACAGTCTGCCCCCTACCTCGGAACCTAGAAACTTAGCTTATTCCGTATTGAGATTATAAATATTTTAAAAATTTACAAGGATGTTATAGAGATTTTTATATCAATTAGATCTGAATATGTCAAAGAATCGCAATGACTAAAAGACAAAAGACACTACAAGTGAATTGTGTATAATACATGTAATTGAACATAACAGCAACATAGGGTATAGATTTTTGTGTGGGCGAGACCTACCGAGTTCATGGGGTAACTCGTGACAGAACACAGCTATAGAAGTGGCGACGCCTGCAGAGTTGCTGGACGTGAAAGCTGCACCGATAGCCAGGCCGTCAGCAAAGTTGTGGATGGCGTCTCCCAGGATGATCATGAGGGCGATGGGCTTGAGGCAACCTCCTGGTGGGGTGAGAGGATGGGAGATAATGTAAGGATGATCATGAGGGCGATGGGCTTGAGGCAACCTCCTGGTGGGGAGAGAGGAAGGGAGATATGTAAGGATAATCACGAGGCCAATTTAGTTTAGGGGAAATCGCTTGGCCAAAGCATGGGAGGCAATGTCAGAAAGATTTTGAGAGAGATAAGTTTCACGCAATCTTCATGGATATATTATTGGATATTGAATTGTGAGTAAACTGAATGTTCCCCTCGGTTAATTTACTCGAGCCTCGGCCAGAACAAGATTTTTTTATGAAGAATCAACGGTTTCCCCGCCTACAATTGAAAGGAACAACTCCCCGCCTACGTTTGATAGGGACAACTCCCGCGCCTACGATTAAGAAGACAACTCTGCATGCACTTTTTTTTTTAACGATGAAAAGATTAAGAGAGAGAAATTAGTCTGCCGTTAAATATAGCAGCGGAGTTTCCCGCACTTATGGGTGTCACCATCAGATGTCTTCTCTATTCCAACCGAGCTCAACAATCGGTCGGCCAGCTTGGAGATTAAATCCGTTATTGGGTGGACTATGAACACTGTATCAGAGCCCCCCCCCCTTTTTGTGAACACAATCCGTTTTAACCGTATCGGGTGTTATCTGGTACCCGGTCTTATCAGTATTGCAAACATGTTAGTTAATGGTTAGTGATGTCTCCGATGTTATCTCTATCACAGCCGAGCTATTCGTGTAGATAATGATGTTAAAAAATCCCATTCATGCACAGGCCAATTTTTTTCTTGTTCTCATCGTTCTCTGTTTGAATTTATAATATATATATATATATATAT